GGGGGCAGCCAAAAATCTTTTTGCTTGGGGCAGCAAAAAACCTAGAGCCGGCCCTGCCTCTTTGGAAGTATTTTTGAACCCGTGTTCAGAAATGGGGTGAGCTTCATCTGATAGGGTAATCGCCCCACCTGCAATTTGTTTGCAGAGTTTTAAGAGGGCCCTCTTTAACTAAAATGAATGGAAACTAGTCCACCTTTCTTGTATTACAAACTAGCATACGATGTATATCTGGCACATCTAAAGACGTTCAGTCAATATAGGAAGCATACCAAAAGCATACATTTTCATAGGTATCTGTTCCTTTCATAACAAAGTAGGACCTTTGGTTGGTCTGCTGTTCGAAAGAAGCGGCTGACTCCCCATTTCCTTGGTTTTTTGTCCTGTTTGAGGCGAGAGCAGTGCTGGAGCAGAGAGATGATGAGCAGCCCCCTTTTGCTGATGGAAGTGGTTAATATAGCTGGCAATCAGTAGAGTGATCTCAAGAATCTGTAACAAGAAACACACTATAATCTGTATCTGGAAAAATATAACTTGTGTTTTGACCTTGAAGAAATAGCTAAGTTTTTAGTGAGCGACTGACATATTTTTATATAAGTTCTTGTATTTTATCAAAGAAATTATAGATGGGAAAAATACCTGTTAGGATTATGGTTATCTTGCCTATCTCTCTGCCAATGCAGGATTACTCCCTAGAGTAAGTACATGGAGTGTTTTGTCCTGCACAATTTTAAATGATTCAAGCAACTCAGTTTCCACCACTTCTTTAGGAGAAAGTTCTACACACCAATACATGTCTCTTAGGGAATAATTTTACTACATGCAGCCTAACTTTTCCTATGCAGTGTTGTATGTCTCCTGCACAAGTGTTAAAGAAGCAGTCCAAATGGGCTGACACCCAGGTGGCTGTGTTTTTCCCCCCAAAGATCTGGGAGGCTGTGCACCATGCCTTCTCCATGGAACCGCCAAAAAATTCCCCTTTAAAGGGATGATTTGATAGAAAATCACTATTTCTTGAACTGTTTGACATACACGTGTGCATATTTCTATGAAGAGACAATTTTTAACTGAAGTTATATGCAGGAAACTATGATCCTACTGGTAGGTTGTTCTGGCTTATAGAAACTAGAGTTTCACTCCTCAGTCATAGCTGAAATTATGCTTTTATTTGTTTTGTTCAGGCTGGTAGGCAATATTAGCAGTGAGAGAGAGTCTAGACTAATATTAGCAAAAGAGTTCCTTAGTCCTAGAATTTTGGAGAAGTGTATAAGCTTTTGGAAGGCCATCATAAAATAGAGACATTGCTTTAATGGAGACCCAAACATTTTTTTTTTAAATTGCAGCTATACTTATTTTTAGGCACTGTATATACTTCCTGTCTTTTATCTCCCTAATTGTCCTTGTCTGTAAAGTCTGGAACTCTGGGGGAAGGGTCATTAAAACAAGAAAACTGACTTTTATGTTTTTAATTGCTTCCCCCTTTAAATTCATTATGCAAAAGCTAATAACTGGAGGATGTTTTGAACAGCAGGTGCTGCACCTTGTGCATATACACAAGGGTACTTAAGTACAAAGAGGCAACAAACACTGGAAATGATTTCGGCTACTGTACCAACCTTTGGTTTTGCCATGGCAAAAAGGAGTTTTTCGTTTGGCTTGTCTTTTGACTGAGCATTGTTAACTACCAGCATAAAGTCATCTTGGTAGCCTCCAAAGGTCATCAGACTTTTGTGTACATATGTAATTATTAATCGCTTTAAAGAAAGAAGAAAGGAAAAAACAGTTTCATGTATACAGAAAAATACCGGGAAAAAGACTACAGTGAATACTTCTTCAAACATAATTACTCATCTGATTTCAAAACACTGTTTTCAGCCCCTGTTGTAGAATTTTGAATCTAATTGCAAATTATGTGCCTGTTTCCCTCAGGCCTTCATTGTGAGAGACTTCTGCTTTCATGAGTGGCCCTGTTTCTAATTAATGTAATATATATTTAGTTTAATGGTTACAATTTTTGAGTTTGGACTTTGGACACACAACTTACATTACAAATGAAAGGCCCAATCCGACTCCCATAGATTAAGAGTCCCATTGGGAATTGGATCAGGCTCTAAAGAAGTTGAATCTCAGGGCCCAAACTTTCAAAAAGGATTTCAATATAATCTTTGTCAGGGCTGGTGCCAGGAAGTTTCGCGCCCTAGGCGAAACTTCCACCTTGCGCCCCCCCCCCCCCCCCCCCCCCC